GGGGGAGAACAGCAAGTGACATAGGTCAGTGCTTAAAGATCCGAATTTCCTCTCCCCACGGAATCAATCTGATCCCCTCCCCCTGGTCTTTCTTGCTTTCTTTTTGTCCCCAGGCTTCCTTTGACTTCCTCCTTGGACTCGGCAGCAGTACTCAGAAAAGAAAGGACATAAATGGAGCGAGTGTGTGAATGTGTGAGAGCGCGTTGCGTTGGCTGGAGGGAGGGAACATTCGGTGGCAATGCTCTGCTCGGGAGCCAATGCCTTTCCTCCGGTTGCCCTCGCCGTATGCCACACCACCACACAAGTATGAAGTCCAATCGCAACCCCAAACTAAAGCCAAGGCGTTTCTGAGTCACGGGTTCAAGCCTGGAGATCTCGATCTGGGCCCCCCGCCCCCGAGCCGGACCCAGCCCGCGTTATGAAGAGCCCCCGCATTCGCACGCCCGTGGGCAAGTGTGCCTGCGGATCATTCACGCGCGGCCACCCGGACGTGTCGAGAAGAAGCGGAACCACAGCGTAAAAACCTCGCAAGTGTCCCCGACCTCTCAGCGCCACGGCAAACGCCTCCGGGCTTAAAAGCGGCAAAAAAACACCCACTACGAAAGCAAAATGTTTACCTTGAGATTTCGGTTCTTCGCTGGATCAAACCTGCACATCCATTCAGCCCGCGCGGGGTCCNTCCAGCCGGTATTCAACTCCAGCGCCTACAACTTTGATTCAGTACCGGTTAGCCAGGGTCGAAGAGCTTCCTCCCACCCCGCTCCCTTTGCCCTCCGGCTTGCCAGCAAAGGAGCCCGAAAATTTGAGAAAATAAAGTTGAATGAGCGGGGAAGGCTGGCATTCTGAGTCGGAAACGCACCTGCGATGTAAATTCGCGGGTGCGCTGCACATTCTCAGATTATCAGAATGTTTTTGGAGGGCGGGGGAACGGTATCTGCTTTCCCCCGAAGAATTTAGACAGACCCTGCCCGTCGCCCTGCTTATCCGCGTTCAGCTGCTTGGGGCCGCGCGGCTGGAGCCGGGCACCCAGGCCGGACCCGCGGTTCCCGGCACAGCTGTTCCCGTCGCGGCCCAGGCAGAAGCACCCGGAGTTCCAGGACGCGAGGCTCCCCCTCCCCCACCCCGCCCCAAAGCTAAGGAAGGGGAAGGGGAGGAAGAAGGGGAGGGAGGAGAGGGAGGGGAAAAAGCCACCCCGTCGCCTCTCTCTCTCTCTCTCTCTCTCTCTCTCTCTCTCTCTCTCTCTCACACACACACACACCT